AATTCCTGAAGAGATGGGGGCGCTCTATAAATTCCTCCTGATCAGCCAGATCATCCGTGTGTAAGGCTCGTTTCCGTACGAGGGTAAATAAGAGTGGGCTGGCTGGCTTACTTGGCTCTGACTTGGGCATAGGGGTGGGCCGATACAATCACACGAACACACTGCTTTGCTCAAGATGCTGTCCGGATGGTTGGATTGAGGGGAAGGGTAGATTCCAATTGGTGCTCAACTGAATACACAACAATACCCATCAATCATACATCTGCTACATGGTCTTTTTGTACTTTTGATTAGTTGGTGGACAGACTGCTAACACCTCACAGACAGACTAGAGTAGGACTGAAGTATACTACCATAGTCAGTTCTATCTTGTGCTGCTGTAAGTGAACAAGTCAAAGTGCATTTAGACTATGTAGACAATCTGTGTGAATGTTGTAGGCATGCCACTTGATCGGTACAGTAAGGGACTTGCCGGACACAACCATTTCTAGAAAATTAGGTGCCGGGCAGACACATGCTGCGGTAGGATTCCACTAGGGTATTCTAGTGCAGACAATGTTTGCCTAATTCATGAACGGATCAGACGTCGACGAGGAGGGTGTTGACGATGGTAGACTAACACGTGCAAGATCAAGTAGGATCCCGTACGTGTTCAGGACCCTAGACGAGGGAGAAGAAAGACGGCTTCGTGCCGAGCGCAGAGCCCGTGCTCTCGCAGCATCAAGAGCAGAAGCAAACGTTGCCGCTTGGGAACAGACTGCAGCAGCAGCCAGGGCAGCAACCATGACTTCTGCAGCAGCATCCTCCGCTGCAACTTCTGTTGCGTTCTCGTCTGGACCCCAGTTTGGAATGCCAACAGGGTCTACGGGCACTTGCAGTTCATCAGGTTCTAGACAGTCTACAAGTCAAATGGCGGGCTCACAGTTCAGCCCGTTGACTCCTCGCGAAAGGGAGATGAGAGAGCTCCAGCAGGTCGAAAGGATCCGTGCACAATTAGAGAAGGAACTGAAAGAAGCTACCGATAGAGAAAAAGAGATAAAGAATAGAGAAACCAGGCTTGAAACGTTAGAGTCTGACAAGGCTGAATTGGAGGGCTTAGATGACTCAGGACTGAATGAGCCCATGAAAGTGTTGAGGAACAACATGCTGTCGCTGCATGCGCATGTGGACAGCAGGTTGGACTTCATGCAGAGCACTTTGGACCAGATCCTGGACATCCTAACAAGGCCAGGATTTAGGCCACCAGCACAATCGTCGTTGCCGTTATCGGCGATGTCAGGCCCTTTTCCAGTTCAAGCCGGTACACAGCCTAGTGGTACATCTGCAGCAGCCGCACAGACTGTTGCATCGTCTTCTTCGGGTCCAGCGGGGATAGCTACATCACCGCAACAACCTGTTCAACAACCTGGACAGACGCAAGGTCAATGGTATCCTAAGACCCCGATGAAACCGCCTCTTGCCTTCTCAGGCGAGAGAAAGGACGAGGAACTCAACACATGGTTGAGAACGGTCCCGGTTTGGGTGAAGGCAAAGAGGACCTTGCCTGAGGACGAAGTGGTAACTACTGCATCCTACCTTGAGGGTAAGGCAGCCAAGTGGCTAGATGGAGTATTTGTAAAGGCCGGGTACGAGCGACGCATGGCGGACTGGGCTAAGTCCCTGACACTAGACCAGTTTATGGAAATGGTAGAAGCTCGATGGCATAATCCACAGGAGGCACAAAAGGCCACTGATGCCATTAACAAACTAGACCAACGAAAGTTCAGGTCAGTTAGAGAGCTTACGACTACCGTTGAGAGTCTGATCCTCGTCCCAGGCATCAACTACAGTGACCAGTTCCTGTTAACAACGTTTGTTAGATATTTGCCAGAGAACATCAGGAACTTACTAGCCAGCGAGGCACGCACCGAATACCACTCGTTTGAGACATTGTCAAGGAAAGCCTTAGACTTAGAGGCCACGCTAGGCAATGCTCAACCCACCTCAGGAAATGACTCAAAGAAGAAGAAGAGTCCTCAGGAGTGGAAGAAGAAGGGGGCAAAGTTGATGATGGTTGAGTCTGCTGGGACTCAAACTGAGATCGATGAGCTCTCTGACATGATGGACTACTCAAAGTATGACGGCGAGGAGGTAGGTGAGGGTAGCACCCTCGCCGCGGTAGTCAAGACTAAGGCGGCAGGCCGAGGGAAGGGCCAGCCTAGGGGTCAAGGGAAGGCCGCCTCCAATCAGACCAAGCAGCCTGAGTGGGTAAAGGCAGGTCTTGAACAAGACGTGTGGCGTGACCGCCGAACGCGTGGTGCTTGTATCAACTGCGGGGAATAAGAACACTCGCAGTATAAGTGCCAAAACGTTAAGGTTACGCAGAAGGTAGCTCCAAAGATGGGGGCCACCTACTCCCAGGCTTCTAGCTCGGGAAACGCGTAGGGCCAGTGGAAGTATTAGCCGCTTCGACTCAAGATGAAGTGGGATTGATACCCTCCCCACTTCATGACAAGGCCAAGGCTAATGACCCCTTAGTCACCCCGCAGACACAACTAGACCAAACTATGCTCTATACGTAAGATGTGTCTGAAGCCTTCGAGAGTGAGTGGTCAAACAAGGACCCTCGTGAGTCTTGGGTGGCGCTAAGGAAAGGTCCTAGAGGGGAACATTTCGTGGTGGAGGTCGATGTAGGAGGCCGCAAATGTGGTGCCTTCATAGACATAGGCTCCACGCAGAATTACATAAGTCGCGACTATTTGGAAAGGCTGCACCTACAGGACCGGGTACGGCACCTTAGTAGACCTGTAGCATCTACTTTGGCAAACAAGGAGCGCATGATTGTAACAGACTACATCAAGGACGTAGTCTGTACCTTCTCCTATGGAGGAGGTGAGCTTAACCATAAGATCTCGTTCTTGGTTAGCGACGACTTGCCATTCGATATGCTGTTAGGCATGTACTACCTCGAAGTTGCTAAGCCCCAGTTCGACTGGGATAAGAAGGTGCTCAAACACAAGTTGCCCGGTGGCCGAACTGTCAGATTGACCAAGTTCAAGGCCAGTAGTATTATAGATACCTATGGCTGCTTGTGCGCATCCGCATTCTACAATTACTATAAGCAAAACCAAGAGGAGGGTATATACCTTGTTTATGTCTTTGAGAAGGGGGAGGCCGTTAAAACACCCCCAGAGATAGAACGCGTTGTTGCTAAGTTCCCTGATCTGTTCGAGGAACCCTCAGGAGTTGTTGATAGGGAAGTCGTCCACGTTATAGAAATCATTCCAGGGAGTAAGACCCCAAAGGAAAGAATCTATAGGATGGCCCTGCCGAGTTAGATGAACTTCGGAAGCAACTAAAGGAGCTGACAGAGAAGGGATGGATTCGGCCTAGTACTTCCCCTTACGGATCACCCGTTCTATTCGTACCGAAGAAGGGGGGTACTTTGAGGATGTGCATTAATTATAGGGGCCTCAATGCCATCACTGTGAAAAACGCAGAGCCTCTACCTCGCATAGACGACCTATTGGATAGGGTGCAGGGATGCAAGTACTATAGCAAGATAGACTTGAAATCCGGATATCACCAAATCACAACAAGACCTGAGGACCAACACAAGACAACTTTTTAGACTCGTTATGGTCTGTATGAGTTTGTAGTGATGCCCTTTGGTCTTTGTAATGCGCCGGGTATGTTCCAGCACGCTATGAATCGGATCTTCCATGACCATTTAGATAAGTTTGTCTTGGTCTACTTAGACAACATTTTGATCTTTAGTAAGTCTGCCGAGGAGCACGCAAAGCACGTTGAGATAGTTCTCTCACTCCTGCGACATCACAAGTATAAGGTCAACTTAAAGAAGTCTGAGTTCGGTCGCACTAAGATACTATACTTGGGTCATGAAGTATCCGCGAAGAGGATTAGGCCGGAAGATGCGAAGGTGGCTAGTATTCCAGACTGGCCACGACCTCAGACAGTCACTGAGGTCTGATCATTCTTAGGAATGTGCGGCTACTATAGGAACTTCGTAAAGAACTATTCTACAGTCGTCTCTCCTTTGACTGATCTAACTCGACTTGACACACCGTGGGACTGGAGTGATGAGTGCGAGGGTGCTTTCAAGAGATTGAAGCACGCACTCCTGAATCATGAAGTTCTCATGGTTCCCGATCCCCAGAAGCCATTCATAGTGACCATTGACACAAGCCAATACGACATTGGCGTAGTGCTGGCTCAGCAGGAGGGGAAAAAGTTGAGACCGATTGAGTACATGAGTAAGAAGATGCCATCGAAGAAGTTGGCTAAGTCCACCTACGAAAGGGAACTCTATGCTCTCTACAAGGCACTTGTCCATTGGAGACACTTCCTTTTGGGAAGGTTCTTCTATATGAGGACTGATCATCAGACCCTCAAATGGATCAAGACTCAACCGGCTCTTTCTGATGCACTCAAGCGATGGATTGAGGTCATAGACCAATATGACTTCAAGCTTGAGTACCTGAAGGGAGAGTACAACAAGGTTGCAGACACGCTATCCCGTAGAGCAKACTACCTAGGTGCGCTAGTTTTTTACTTTGGCGTATCTAATGAAGTAACTCAATCATTGGTGGGAGCCTATCAGGAAGACCCTGTCACGATGGACATCATCCGCAAACTTCACGCAAAAGATAAGGCCACAGAAAGTGAGTTTGTGATGGTGGACGAGCTACTCTATCTTGATAAGGACGGAATAAAGAGATTGGTAGTTCCATGTAGTGAACAGTTGCGTAGTTTATTTTTAGGAGAATGCCATGACGCAATGGGTCACTTTGGCTACAAGAAAACGAGTGTTAATCTAGTACAACGATTTTGGTGGCCTGGTATGTTTGATGAGGCAAAGAAGTACGTAGAGACCTGTCAGGTCTGTCAGCGGGACAAGCCGCGAACTCAAGCACCGCTTGGGTTGCTTAAGCCCTTACCTATTCCCGCTGGTCCAGGACAAAGTGTTTCCATGGATTTCATGGACACCCTGGTAACTAGCAAGAGTGGTAAAAGGCACATCTTCGTCATCATAGACCGATTTACCAAGTACGCTAGACTAGTTGCCATGCCAGAAAGTGCGAGGACTGACCATGTCATCAAGTTGTTTAAGGACAACTGGGTGCGGGACTTTGGTTTACCAAAGACTATCGTTAGTGATAGAGACATCCGATTCACAAGTGAGCTATGGAAGAAGACTGCGGAACAAATGGGCAGTCAACTTCAGATGACTTCAGGGAATCATCCCGAAGCCAATGGACAAGCCGAACAGATGAATAGAGTTGTACAACACTTGCTGATGCACATCAAGCCCAACCAAGATGATTGGGATGAGAAGTTGCCACTCATCGCCAGTCTGTACAACAATGTTGTGCACAGCAGCACCGGCGTGAGTCCTAACCAGCTACACTTGGGATGGAAGCCTAGATCCGCGTTAGACTTCCTCCTACTTGAAAACCAACCTGCTGCAACCCCAGGCACATTGGAGTATGGTGTGCAGTATGAGAAGTTGCTGCAAGAAGTTGTCGAGCACATGAAGAAAGATCAACAAGCAATGATTGCTTCTGAGAATCAACATCGTAGACAGTCCACATTTCAGGTAGGGGAACGTGTCTGGGTCAAGGCTAGCGAGCTAGGACAGGAATTCGGAATCTCTCGCAAACTAATGCCTCGATACTTTGGTCCCTGGGAAGTCTTAGATATAGTGGGAGATGAGATGGATGGTCCCACTTATGTCATTCGTGTCCCTGGACACCTACGCACTCACCCAGTCTTTCATGCCTCAAAGCTTGCACCTTTCGCTGAGACTGATCAATTCCCTTCCAGGAGATCGATGCCGCCCCCAACCATGGATGGACAAGTCGACATCGATGACATTGTGGATCACCGAAACATGCCTGTTGCAAAGTCGTTGGGTCGAGGAAGACCTCCTAAACCGAAGAGAGAATATCGTGTCAGATTCAGGCATCACACGGATCCCAACGAAGATCCGTGGTTTACCGGGGAGGAACTGATTGAGAGAGCTCCTCAGGTGGTGGCAGAATATGAAAAGAGGCTGAAAGGGAAGGCACCTGCGAAGTAAGCATCTCAGCGGACTTTCGAAGCTAAGGGGGATGGAATGTGAGGATTGAGCCCTCAAGAAGGGGCCTTGCCATGATGTACATGTTCTGGGCTAAGGCCCCAGCAAGCCTAGTGCCCGCCCTAAGTGAAGGCGGGCCAGCAAATCAACAAGAGCCCTCTGTGCCAACATTTCACAAAGTGGGGTTCATACAGTTGCAGCACGCCAGTTGGTTGGAGTGCACCGAGTCTCGGATTTCAGCAAATGCTGAAAGCCCAGGGCCTCTGAGTTAGTTAGGCCTTGGGCACTYGAACGTGAGRCCGACAATGCATGCTGGGTAGAGAGGCCGAAAATGCCAAAGGGAAATCGGCCCACTATCTGAATCTGGCCGCAGGCCTTGATGAAAGAGGCACAACTGCATTGCCCCGGGGCCCAACTGTACCGGGTTGGCTTCAGCCTCTGGGTCCCGGTCACACGCTGAAGGAAGGCCGCCCACACGCTGCACTGGCATATAGGCAAGCAGGGCGAGTGGGCAGGGATCTTGGCCAATGCTGGCAKTGCGGGCACGCTGCGCGGATGCATGTGTGCTGCGCTGTGCAGAGCTGCRCTGCGCTAAGGTCAAGCAGGCTAGCGCTAGGCGKTAGGGCGCTGCCTGCATGCAAGGCACTGGCGGCCATAGCYGGGCCGCATGAGGGTGCAGAGAGGGGTGAAGGGCGAAGGTGGTCTTCGGAGGTGAAGGGCGCTGTGTGGGAAACAGGGAAGAGTGTGGGTGAAGAGGACACGTACCTGGTGGAGGTGGAGGTCSGCATTGGTGTTGACATCATCACTYGCTGGTAGTCAAGTTGTCTGGTTGYTTTCATTGMTGTAGTTGTAGGCTAGGCTGTAGAGTAGATAGGGCGCCTGGCGCCATTCACAAGAGAGAGCTACATTTGGGTTATGCTGTTGGTGTTGCYCTGYTGGGCATGGACATTGACTYACGATTCTTCTGTATCATTCTCAATGGGATGGTTACTCGGTTCCATGTGCTATCTGCTTTGGCTTTGACTACTTGGACTTCAGTGTGATTTTGCATCTGGATTTCTGTGCTTCGTCCATATTCATGTTCCTTGCACAACCAAAGAACATAAGCAAATTCTGAAAAATTTATATGTTGTTTAACATTATTATTTTAAGCCTATACAGGAGACCCCTAAAATCATAGCTACCTCTCACAATTAAGGGGATGCATGTTGGCCCCCGCCCTAATCAGCGGTGGTCAGGGAGCAGGGTGAGGCCGCCGGTGGGGGGCGCCGGCTAACGCAAAGACCGAGCATTTTGCCAGTCCCCTGTATAGGCGTAGGAGTAGTGGTAGATAGAGATAGTGAAAGGAGAAATTGACAGAAAAATATAGTTTTTCATTATTTCTTTTTTTTTTTTTTTTTTTACATAACACCCAGCCCCTTCTATTCTGGGGGGCATCAGTCCGGTTGCTCATCACCGGCAAGCCTGGAAAACAAAATACAGTTTTTCATTATTTCAATTGTTGTTGTTGTTTTTTTTTTGTTTTGTTTTGTTTTTTAGTGGTGAAGCGAGGACCTTTTTTTTTTTTTTTTTTTTTTTGGAAAGCGGGTCCAGCGTCCCTTACACAGACTGAATTTAGAATGCCTCTGAAAAATGTGGTGTGCTCCTGCCAGCATTGATTGCCCTGGGATCCAGGGGATTAACTGAGCAGGATTTTGGGAGGAGGGGGAACCTCTTCACCCTGCATTCACCGCCAGATACGCAGCTGCACGCTAGTTCCTCTCATTATTTCAATTGTTGTTTTGTCAATATTTCAATAAAATCATTATCTTTGATATCATTATTTTTACGACTATTATGATATTAATATCATACTATCATTATCTTAACAAGTCGATGCGCATTTTGCCAGCTGGTGCACCTCCCTTTTCATCGTCCCGCAACCCCCATTGAGTAGCAGCGGTGGCTATGGTCAATACACTATCCACTCATGCTCAAACTCACACCCGTGTTGGTCAGAGACCCTACTAATACCAGTCAGGGGTATCCAGCGGACTATCACAGTCGATTGGCACTATGTGTGCCGCAGGCGGTCATGGGGCTTGAAGCCACAACCTCCTGAATGCCACTTGCGTGCCTAACCAACTGAGCTAGCCCGATCCCCACTGGCGCCCCCACCCCACCGCTATTGGGGCGGGGGGCAACATGAATACCTCAAAGTTTGTGAGGCCCTATGCTTGCAGGGGTACCCTCTATATAGCCTTAGGAGTAGTGGTAGGTAAGCAGTGAAAGGCAAAAACCAGATTTGAGAGAAGAATATAGTGTAGTTAAAAAAAAAGGAGAAAACAAGTCGAGGCGCAACGCGGCGATGTCGTGGCCACAGGTGCTGGGATGATGGTCACAATTGAAAGGAGACGTCAAAATAAGGTTCAGACATATGTTTGTCTTGTCAACAATGTCAAGTCAATTCTCCTTCATATTCTTTGGAACACAGAAGGGAGATCAAAACATGAGTCCAAATGTGTGCATTATTACACGGCTTCATGGAATGCCTTAGCACGTCATGCCATGTGGGTCGAGTGTGCTCCTTTGTGGGGAGGAAAGATGACACTAATCGGGTCCGGCGCTCAGAGGGCATATTCACACTATGACTTGTTCTACTAAGCTCGGGACCTGATTGCAGTCGGATTCATCCAGGTCTGGCCGTAATTGCAGTCAGATCCATTTAGGGCAGTTCTAGTGTGAGTGTGACCTGACATGAAAAGGGCAAACTCACACCAGGACTTCTTTTTTTTCTTTTTTTTTCAGAATACAGGGACTCCTTTCCTTCTAATCTTGGGACCTGATTGCAGTTAAATTAAGCCACGTTACGGGATGGCACTGTGCAGCCTAGCCGATACAGTGCACAGCAGGTAAGGGATGCTCGGTGGGCTGGCGGTAAGAACGACCCAGCCTGCAGGATGCTAAGCTCTGGAGGTGACCGTAGTCAGATCCATCCAGATCTGGCGGTAATTGTAGTAAGATACATTTTGAGAAGTGCCGGTCTGATTTCGGTTTTACTGTGTGGGCGACGTTCGGTGGTGCAGGATACTAAGCTCTGGACATGATCACAGTCAGATCCATCAGGATCTGGCCACCTATAGTAAGATACATTTTGAAAATTGCTGGTCTGATTTCGGTTTTCTTGTGGTGACGATGTTAGGTGGGCTGGCGGAAGAACGACCTGACGTGCAGGATGCTAAGCTCTGGAAGTGATCACGGTCAGAACCATCCGGATCTGGCCATAATTGTCAAAAGATACATTTTGAAAAGCGCTGGGCTGATTTCGGGATTCCCTGTGTGATTCAAGCCACACCAAATTATCCAAATGGACCTGCTGCAGGTTAGGGGCGCAATGTACTTGTGTCCAAATGTCCAAACACGCTTGATGTGGGTTTGCTATGTATTCCAACATCCGCGTGGCCCGCAACCAAGAGACGGGTGCGCAAGAAACACTACCATGCGGGCGGAACACGTCCCCCTCCCGAAACGTCACTCGGGAAGTGACAAACGAATCCCGGTACTGCGACCCGCTTGAAACGCCGCACAGGAAATGACGAACTAATCCACGAAAGAGAAAACGGCCCCACGGGCCTCGAAACCACAGCCCTCCCAAAACACCATGCCAGATTAAAAAAGAGCGCCTCACCCCGGGCCGATACGAGCTCACCGGATCCATACACAGCGCTCCCTTTCAGCCGTACGATGAGAAATCCGTGAAAAGATTCAATGAATTAACCATGATCCTAGGAGAACATGAGTTCTCCTTTCACGGCAAGAAGACACGACTTGGATACACCGCTAGCGGATCGCGTGATCGAAAGTCCAGCGGTGCACGGGAACCCCCCAAACTCGGCCAGTAACACATGCCCGCGGACAAGGAGAAATTTAGCTTGGGATGATTTTTATCCAGCATTATTTTGGATGCTAAATACGATAAGATGGGTAGCATTCTATTGGCATTGGAAACATATTCCTCTTTGGCAGGCGAATGTATCTCAATTCAATGAGTCATCTACATTTTTTAATGGGATGGTTAAGAGATTATTTTAATTTATTCATGGTTAAACAAACTTAAACTCATCTCAGCTTATTAAATAAATTCAAATTATTAACGGCTATATAATATACACTTGCGGTCTGTTAGGATACCTCAGCTACATGGGTTACTGCACTTAAACCTGGCACCTGTTGTGAAAAACGGCTCGTCTTGCAGTGACCTTTCCCATGCCCTATTTATTCCCTTTGGGATATTGGAAGGACATGCTTGAATAAGCAAGAGCACTCGTCTTAAGGTGGACTTGGGGAGGGGATGGATGAGGAACATTGAAATAAACAAAAAGTTAAAAACACCACATCCTCAACCCATATTACCAGTTTCCTTCTGCTTCGTGAGGGAGGCAGGGGACATTGAGAGGGGGGAATAGAATGGAAGTGTCAGGACTCAGGAGATTGATAGACCTGGACAATTCGAAAGAGAGTCTGTAAAATTTGGCCAATGAATATGAGGATGACTTGAAAGAAATATAAAACAGATGGACTAAGTAAAGGGGCAAGAGTTGTAGCTTCGTCATTCAAAAAAAAATACCTTCAGTGTCACCGTGCTCAGTGACGTATGGTCTGAAAAGCCGCGGGAAGGGGAGAGGCAATGCCAGTGGCTGTTCAGCAACCACCACGTGGCGCATTATCATTGGCCGCTGCTCCTTTGACAAGCTCGCACACAAGGCTGCATTTGCATCCGCTATGCTTGCTGTCACGTACCCTCCGGTAGCAGGATCTGAAACAATGGGCAATAAATACCGCAGCAGACAAAGAAAACAGGTTCCGAAGAATGAACATGAGTTACATGACAAAACGAGGGCAATCAAATTGCATTCCCCACTTACACTTGCAGTTAAGTACCCCTCTGTAGCAGCACAATCTGAGACATAATCTCTTCTTATCTTCTGCAGGAAGAGAATCTCAATACAGATCTATCTTTATCTGCTCATTGGCACTTGACTGATACACACAGTGCAATGATCCAGCTCAGTCGAATGGAACAACACAGGTGCTTAGCATATATATCTTCATGGACATTTTTGAAACGGTATTCACCAGTTCGCAGTAGGGAATGCAGATCCCAGGGCTCGATCCCTAGTTCCC